CATTACTATAAGTTCCTTTTATACATTTATTTTCCTGGCGCTAACTGCAGGATTACAGGGTCGCCCTAGGGACTCAAGCCTAGGAGAAGTGACTTGAGAAGATGGAAATCTCGGCGCACCTGCAGGACTTTTCCCTTCCACTCCTGCGCTTAGACCCCAAGATCAATCAAGGCGGTTTTACGCACTCTCTTTTTGAATTTTACCACCACATCCCCCATAATATTTGGCGTAGGCCTCATTTTCCTTGAAAGGCATACCTCCGGCCGTGGGGCGAAACTTGCCTCTTATTGAGTAGCAGGCAACAATCGCAGTCCAGCAGTCGAGTAAAAAGCGAAATCGAGTCCTCTTTTCGACTTTTTCCTTGATTATGCTGAAAAGGCAGATTAGTGATTTTCAAAGTAGAAGTTTGAGGAAGGGTTGACGTACTTTCCGTTGGAATCCCGTCGTTCTTGTACTTCCTGATGCTTTTGCTTCACTTGTTTCACAGTCTTTCTTGAACTTTCAACAGCGGTCTCCTCCTTGTCGCACTCTTCCTGAATAAGGCCAAGATTTTCGCAGCGATTGTAGTGACATTGCCGAAAAGCAATAATAGTTTATAGGGGTTATATTTTTCCAAGAAACGGAGCCAAAAAATAAACGAAAGTTGCAGGAAAAATTATGCTAAGAAAAATCCCTAAGAAAATTCCCTTTATGGTCAGACGGGTTTATGTTGCTAATAGTGATTTCAGTAGTTGGTATTAAAGACATGGAAGAGAAATGGAGGAGTATGGATGGCGGATAGATTGGAAAGATACCTGTACGACGATGGGCGGGGTCATACGGGTTGCGACCCAGTTGTCAGGCGATCGTGTACCTGCAACGAACGAATTATTCCTTAAAAGGGACCGTGTCGTGGGAGAATTCGCGATTAACCCAAGGATTTATGGATCGGAGGAAAAAGATAGGAAGGCAGGAGGGGAAACATATGGGAAAATGAATCTAGGTCGGATTTGCCAACACATGGGAGGATCTCGTATGGATCACGCCTCCTGAGGGACAGAAGGAAGGGAATAGAAACAGAAAGATGAAACGCCTCGAGATATCGATCGCGACCTGGCTTCAAAGTCTCTGCCGAGCAGCAAGCAGATTACGTGAAGAAGCTCTCTTTTTCCCTTTTGGAGCTACTTCGAGCATTCTTCATCTCCCCAACCTTAAAACAGCGCCCGAACTTGGTCTTCAGTACAACAGTGCTTTTAGACACTCCTCAGTAACGTGACAACCCTATTCTCAGGGCTTCGTCGGGTCAGTTGTGGACAGCGATTACAACCAAAACCCAATTTTCTCCTTCCAGAGGTCTCCATCAAGTTAGCTGCCCGAAACGAGGCCTCCACAGCCGTCGCTGTTCGCTCCCTCTCGAAGGCCTACAGCCCCACCAATGGCACGAACCTGGCCAGCCTTTGCAGTTGACTCCCTTAAAACTGGTCTCGCAACATAGAAATACACCGCGCTCGACCGCTCCGAAAATGATCCTTTTTTTTTTAGATTTGACAGATCTAATAATAAATGTGAGCCGCACTGCGGAAGCAGGCCATATTTGGCCAGTTGCGCCAGCTACGCCATTACGTGTCAACAATCGCATATGTCACGGAAAAGTGGGCGTGGGGGGGGGCATACTTGGCAAGTCGCATCATGTGGCTGCGGTTGAAGCATCAAACTACAGAGGATCGGCACCTCTACCAGCACATAGCAGCATCAGCTCCCTCTCCTCACGAAAACAACCTATATTCACAGCTCCTGGACTGATCGTGACCACAGCTCTAACATTTGGTGGCAAACAGGTTGAGAAATTTCGAGGTGTTCGGGCAAAATGGGGCGTAAGGTGTTATCAAAAATTTCGTAGCTGATAGTAGCTTCCTCTTGTTTTATTTGTATCGCAACATCCCTGCAGCCAAAAAACGATCATTATGTTTCCGCAAGGCTCAAGAGGAACATAGCATGGGTCTCAGCCTATAGAAGCCCGTCTCAGGGTACTTGCTCCGTAATAGCTTCTCAACAGCGGCAGCTTCTTACTTGGCAAAAAGTCATTGATAGCGCGCTGTCTTTTTTGGCAAGTTCTAGAGCCCCAGTGATTAAGGTTGGGAATTTCAGGGCTTGCTGGTCTCTCGAACTTTTAGTTCCTAACGAGAATCGCTTTCGCCAACCACTCAAAGAACCCTCAATATCAAACAAGTATGGACACGGCGGAAACGCTTCACAAACCCCCGGTGGCCATGCGCTAAAATCCACCCCTCTACGGCAAGCGCCAAATTGAATGGATCATTACATATTCCTCTTTGCAGGATGTTTCTTTGTAAACACCTCGACTCGAACCGACTAGAGATGATTCTCGAGTTACCCACGTACCTCTGAGTGCCAGGGTCGAATTGTAGCTTCCGCGCTTCACTTTGGACTAACCCCTTTTTAAACCAATCTCAGTCTAAATCCCCGCTAACAGTTGCAATTTGCGCCCAGTGGTGAGATTTCGGGGAGAAAGAACTCAACAACCGGACTGGAAGTTGGCCTCAATTCCAGCTACGAAATTAATCATATCGGCGGTAGTGCAGCGGTAACGCCCTTACTAAGACCCGAAGTCGTTCGGTGTTTCACGACCTGCTGACCAATCAGCACACTGATCGTTCGAATCTAGAAAAGTAGTCCAAATACGTTACTTTAAAAGTTTTTTCTGTATGAGGAAGGTGTGGCTGAGAAGATGAGGAGGAAAAAGAGGATGAAAGAAGTCTGACAAGAGGAGAAGCTCATTTCGAGAGATTAGACAGGATGACTGGCGGCGCCGAGTGCAACGGTGATATCTGGTAGTGCGAGATCCGTTGGCCGTCCTTGACCGTACGTTGTACCCGCACATCCGAAATGGATAAACAGCACCCGAAAGGCAACAACAACAGCGTTCACCTGTGAATCGGCAGCGATTATCCGACAATAAGGATAAAAGCGATTAATGCGCTTTCCACAACCTTTGAGTTGCCCGAATTGTATGACAGTCATTAGCACCTCGATGACTTGTTTCACACCGCGCTCGCTGGAGGTCGCCTGGGTGCCGAGGAAGAGATAAAATGAGGTTGATGAGGTTCCTTAATTGATCCTTTCATGACGCGCCAGGCATGGCAAAACTTGCCGAAAATTCGGAAATCAAATTTGGCTATGAAGTGGACGATGTAAAACCTCAGTGACAGATACTTATGGAATGTAAAGACAGCTCTATTGGGCGGTTTTGCTCTTTCGCACTGCGAACTTTTCGGGCAGATAGATAAATTGAATTTCTTCCCTCATATGACAGGGAAGGATTTCGTGGGCCCACATCACCCTCATTCTCAACGAATTGTCCCTACACGTACGTCGCATGTTTTGTGAATCTTTTGAACCAAGTTAGCATTTAACTGCCGCTAGTTGAAGGGAAGATCAAAATAGGTTTTGATTCTTCACTAAAAGCATTCGAATGCCGCGATTGCACACGCACTGACCAATCTCAGGACGTAGTGCATCCTTATGCGGTCTGACTAAACTTGAGATAACTGTGACGAGGGCAAAGCAGAGGCCAGGCCCAAGTCCGTATCTGCTAGAGTAACTCCATACCGGTAAAGGTAAGCATGGTTGATCCGGAATCTGCACTCCGAGCGTGAACGCGGTAAGCGAATTGACTTGCGCAACTAACCGGTGCAACCCGCTGTAATGTCTAGATGCTTTTCAACTGCCGTATGAAGGACCCATGAGATGAAGCGCTTTTATGTGTACTGAAAGTAGATATAGTACGCCAAAACTGTAATATTAGACCTCAAAACTTGTCACACTGACTCATATGTGGTTGAGGTACACGTAACAACCGCTGTGGAGCTCTGATTTCCCGAAATTTACCCTTTTGAAATGATTTTCGCAACCAGTACGAAAATTTTTTGCGACCATCTCCTAATGTGCAGTACATGCCTTTTTCCAGAATCCGTTGTATGAGCGTGGATCAGCCTGAAAGGGTCAAAAATGGGGTTCTTACGGTGATCAAGTGGAGATGGAGGGCGGCAACAGTCCGTTATTACTAGCAGGGGCGAAATACCGTCTGAGCCAATAACTCTTCCCCTTAGTATAATAGTAGACTGTTTGGTTCCAGTTTTGATTGGAAAAACTTAGAAACAATTCAACACAATTCGCGAAAGAAATTTGTGGGAACCTACTGGCCCCTTAATGGAAAAGTTATCCACGCCAAAGTAATCTGTATGAACGAAAAAGTGGCTTATTGTAGAAGTCAGCCGCTTGCAAGCCCTTCACTTTGCCCCCAAGTGATTGATGCCCCTTTGAGTATTCAACGAATTCCAGTCGCAGCTTTTCCTGGTGAAAGCGAAGATGCTTCAGGGGACCTGTAGAACATTAACCTACATACATACTAACTCGCTCCAGAGTACATGACTGGTAAATGACAGTCGAGTGATTTGTCTCGATTAGTTGATCAATCAATCACTTCACTGATATCTGTAAAGTTTCCGGCTCTGGCGGATTTAGGGCATATATCATTTACTTGGGTCGACGATCGCGCGCGGACGTCTATGCTATCCTTTCCATTGCCGATCAGATGGCCTACTTCCCCAGAGAATTTCCCCCAGAAAACATCAGGTCACGTCTCGTGCGTGTTTCGAAATGATAGATGCCTGTGAAAACGAGATGAAATCACACGATATTATGGCATTTATTAGCTGGAATCTTCTGGACCAATGAAAGATTCACAAGATTAAATGGAATGTTCTACAGTACCTCGAAACACAACGCAAAAGCACACACGCACATAGAAAAACACAGGCAACATAACGTACAATATTCGACCCTTAATGTTCGCCACTGGACGGGTTCCCCTCGCCGAGAGAAAGGCGTCAGCAGCTGAAAAATACGGTCCTCATCTAATGAAGAGCCGATGAAAGAGAATGAAAATGAAGGACATTCAGATGAGCAATGAGTGTATGCGAAGAGAGTGAAAAAATCGATTATCGATCGCCTAGTGTTGACGGAGCCGGCGGATCCTTTTCTTCAACTTTCGGTTGTAGTAAGCCGCCATTCTCGTTGTTTGAGTACGACTCCTCTTCAACCATAGTGACGGGAAGGAGCTCTTGTAAAGTGTCCTGTTAGAGATCTCCTCCTTAACTGTGCTGGGTAATTGTTCCCACTCACAATTCTTGAAGGTTCTGGGTTGTGGTTTCTTCTTGCTTTCGGTGCTGACAGAACGTAATCCTCACGAGGTGCTGGTATTTTTCCATTTACATCGGCCATGACCACTTCAGTATCCTGACAGACACATGTTCCAGGTGTACCTGAAAGAATCATTCAACTATAAGCCAAAAGACCTGGGCTAAAAGCCCTCTGGAAAGAGTCGCACGACACTTACCAGCTGGTCCTTCTTCACCAGGCGGTCCTGCTGGTCCAGGTAATCCCATCGGTCCTGGAGCTCCTGGTGGTCCAGGCCAACCTTTTCTCACCGGGTGTGCCAGCATAGCCATCTTCCCCCAGGCGCCGGCATTATCCTGGCGGTCCCCCTGGGCCAGTGGTCAGGGTCTCCTGGTGGTCGCAGGATAACGTGTGCTTTCTGGGGTTCTTCCCTGAAATTGCTTCATTTAAATTCTTGCATTTAATAATAAAGGTGATATTCATCAGTTAGAAACGATCAAAGGAAGATAAATGAAGAGTAAACGCTCGTAGTAGATATAATAAATCAAAGGATTTAATGATAGTACCTTGTCACCGGGCGGACCCGCAGGTCCAACAGGTCCAGGTGGTCCAACTGGTCCAGGTTCACCTTGATTGCCAGGAAGTCCATCTGATCCTGGTCGACAGGATTCCAGGCATTCACCTATTGATCTCCCGGAAATCCGGGATGTCCAGGAAGTCCTCGAGGTCCTTGGGTGGGCAAGGCAAACATGGTGGTGGCTCGAAAATTCGTTCGGGAATACAAGACGCATTTGGCGTGGTGCCAGGTCGTCCGGGAGCTCCGTCAGGACCAGGTGCACCTGGGAGAGCAGGAAGGCCAGGATCTCCGACGGGACCTCGTTCACCAGCAATACAACAGGCTGTAAAAATTGCTAACTAATAAGGGTAGGATTCGCGAGGATGAGTTAAAAACAGACCTGGGCACTCTTGGAATTGAGGTGTGTCTGAGGCAAACGTTGATGGGTTGTAGTGTCCGTAACCAGCGGCACGAGTTGACCGATTTCCAGCCGTTTGCCGGAAAGCTTCTCGAACTGAGATCATCTCCTGCTCCATGTCGGTCACGGCACTCTAAATAGTTGACAGTGAAGAACCCTGAGCGAGAGGAAGGTCAAGTGTCGGCCAAACCTCGCAGTAGGCAAAGTCAAGCTTGCCAAAACGCCCAATATTGTCGACAAGGTTGTACATTGACGGAACTACGAGACATATCGTCAGGAAGGATAGCACTGATAACGATCCTGATACTCCGATGATAAATTTATACGCTTCTTCACGGGCCTAAAAATAGCACTATTGAATCAATCGACCCATCGCTGTCGTCAGCTTACCTCAAAAAAGCCCTCCTCATGCGGGGTAGACCCGCTTGGCCTCGGGACCTTCATAGAGGAAACCGGCCTGAAAATGGTCTCACATGATCGATTCGAACTCAATTTTCAATTCGTATTATTTCGAACTCACCCGCTCGTTTTCTTTTTAGGTACAGTGAAGCTCAGGCGAAAGAAACGATAACGGAAAGGAGAAATCGCTCAGATAATAAGAGACGTATGGGTGATGCCCGAAGATGTCGGCCTTCCTAAACAGCGATTTTAGCGATTTTAGTGCGGCTCACATAGAGCGTATACCTAGAGGCAGTGGTCACAATGGCTGGAGGGCAATGCGGTTTGGATGACGTCGTCGAATGTCATGGTGGAAGGGCGCTCGAAGTCCTTCCGACCACATAGTCCACCACTGGCGTTCAGTGACGTCATCAAAACCGCACCGCCCTTCCAGCCATTGTGATCACTGCCATTAATTCGACGGCAAAAATACCAACGGTGACTGAGGGACAATAAGCTTGAAAACAATTAAACCTGCATGAGAAGGGCTTCAAAACAATTAAGCACTTCGTGAAGACATGAAGGGGCTCCTCCCAAAGGATGGAACAGCGCCAAAAGGTGAAATAAAAATAGGATAAAAAAGCTTATTAGGGAAGGTCTCGAGTAATGATTGAAAGGTTCTGCATGTCATGATAGTAGGTGAAGAAAGGAGCATATGGAAGGCTTCCAAGATAAATAAAAGATTTGAAGAAGGATGTTTCAAGCCTGTGTCGAACTGGGAGTTGGAGATGACAATCAGAACTGCAGCTAAATTATGGAATGCATTTTGGCCTGAAAAGTGAGTTCAGCTCTATTTTGCTGAACTCATTCTCTTTAGGGAGTGACGTCATACCCTTTGGAGAACGTCATTGCAGATAGGTGACAACCAGACTTCTAGCCGCCCGCTATTCTCCTCGAAGAATCAACTTGTTAAATAAATCGTTAGAAAAAATTGACCAGTGCAGAAGTACGAGTAGATGAGGTGGTGGATTGGGAGAAAGTCTGCGAGAAGTCCGAAGAGTATGGTGTCCCGATCGCGGGCGCCTGATACGCAGCAGCCAGCGGGCCGCGCGTCAGGTATCGCGTCTCGGTCTTGACCCCAATACCCACTCTCATGAAACCGAGCAGAGATAACCACCACCACCACGACCACCCGAGAATACAGTACCACCACCTGCATCACAACCACATGATGTGATCGATTCCGCGAACATTGTTCCCCCCGTTGTGGAATTTCGCGCAATTCCGCGCGAAAGTTTTCTGCCGCCGCGAGTTCTTTCAACTCCTATCGCCTGGTGAATCAGTCTTCCGCTTCATTGCAGCTCAATGAGTTCACCAAAGGGGTCATGAAAATTAGGTGACCATTCCCAGCCGAATCTCGAAATGCAGTTGTTCCAGGGGATTTTCATCGATAGACTCAAGTAAGTCGGTCATTTTTTTCAGAGGGAGGGGTTGGGAAAGTGAAAGAGGGCCTTCACACCATACCTTTCACACAGCTAACTGCGGCGTAAACAGCAGTAAACAAAAGGAAAAAATCAAACCTGTAACACCAGCTTATATTGCTTTGAAATAAACATTGCAGTAGATGCCATGGCTTTTGCTTTATTTTTTGCAGATAAATAAACATAAACATCATAGCATAAACACACAAGGTAAGCACATAGTATAGACAAATGGCCACAAGTCTCCGTGCTGCTTTCTGAGAAGCAGTATCAGAAAGCATCACGCAGGCAAGGCTCCAAATTCCACAGCTGGAGGGGTGGTGCGGGGGCGTGAGTCGGTGCTGTTTGATGATGTGAGAGGCTCGCGCTCCCCAGCTTGCTAATGAGAAGGAATGAGCAGCACCACATTTTTTCACCGAGTCGTCTAGAGCCGGGTTTTCCCATTAATTTATGTACCAAAGCGGGCGGATGACAAACAGGTGAGCGCAAGCTGTAGTTTGCAACTGGCTTCCCCTCTATGTGCTTCATGATACCACTGAAATTCTTAGTTGCTTTCCTTCGAGGTCTCACTCTGAAACAACATAAATAGTCCTCCTGTGTATTGCGGTAGCGCTTCGTCTATCAAAGTTGTCCTTTAATCAAACCAGGCGTGCACTTTTCTTGTTTCTGCAGTTGTTCTGTATTTGTTTCTCTTGAACCAGACGTGGCACTCGTCACTCCCACTTTTGTGCTTTTCAAGCGCCTAGCTAGGAAAGAATTGCTGAGTTATGGCATAGGGTATATATGAAAAGCTTGATGTGTTGTTGCCCATTGTTGTTGTTTTCACGACTGGCGTATCAAATAAATAATGAATTAAGTGGTCTTGTCGGATGGAAAGTCCAATAGATTATCGGAACTTTTGCTTTTACAGCCCTTCAAAATATTTCCGCAATTGATTATCAGAGGCGGTACCTACAGCAAAGAAGAAATGACTCGAAGAAATAGGCTAGACATTAATAAGGCGATTGTTTTTTACGCTGGTAACGACAGGTCTCAGCATGAAAGAGAAAGCAGAAGAAAACAAAGCCGAAATCTGGATCCGGTGTGCATCTCGGAAAGCGGTTTGCGCTGTTTTGCAGACTGTCTTAAACCTTTTAGGAATTCGGCATCCATTCGGCGATACACGGAGGAGCATGGCTAGGCCCCATGTTTCTGAAGAGAAACATGAGCGAACTTTTGCCTTTTGTTCAGCACATCACAAGGATCGGGCAGTGTGAGAGGCGCGCTAAAAATAATGATGTGGGCAATGTGCAGAATTGACAGAACTTAAGGCAAAGTCCACGATCGAATGATGTGGTGTGGGCTAAGGTGACTAGTAGAGATGAGAGGTGTTACGTCAGGCTTTTGAAGATGGAAAGAAACGTCGGCAAAGGCTGAGAATAACACCCCGTTTCCAGCCAGCCGACCGGTAGCAAAATAGCACTTGTTTGTGGGCGGGCCTAATGGTAGTAGGCGGGGCCAGTGCTGCATCCTAGGGACTCAGCCTTGTCAGACCGTCCCGAAAGTTGTTACGTACATACTTTCCACTTGCGTATCGCTGCACTTTTCTAGGGAAAAGCTTAATTTCGACCTTGCCCTTCAAGGAATCACCGAAGACACTAAAATTACAGGCTAAAGCTCTGGCCGTGGTACAGCGGAGAGACACAGCGCGCAAAAGTGACGCTTCTAACCTCCTGGAACTTCACTTGGATGTTTGGGACTGCTCACATCAGTCGAGTAGTAGGTTTTGTCTTCAAACTTTCTCCACCCACAGGAAATGTTTTTGATCTTTCCCAATAAAAACCATCCAAACGTGACAATTGAAAACGACGAATCGAGTTCATTCCTAATCCCCAAACTTCGCATGATCGCACGGAAAAAATTAGAACACGGGTGTAAAACGAATCGCCTTAACACGTTGTTCTACGCTCCGAGAATTCGCTGAAATAAAAGCATTAACGACCTGTCAACTTTATCGCAATTAGTTAGCGATCCAGTCCACTCTCACCACCGACGTTGTTCAGAACATGGAGTGTGGTTCGGAACGACTTATTTGCACATTGTCGTACAATTGCTTGAAATCTGACATCAGGGTCACTTGTTCTTGAGCGGATTCGCTGAAAAGAGTGATATTTTTTATTGAAAGGAGCAACTTCAACAAATTCAACGGCTACATAGAAAATGTAGCGTTGCAGTCTACTAAGCTTTCCTCTAACCAGGAAGGTCTTTCAGGACATGGAGCCCTTTTTGAAAACGGTTTTTTGCATGATAAAGGGGCACATGCATGGAGTACAAAACTATGCTCCATTTTTTCTGAGCGGCCCTGTGAGTGCCAAAAAAGGTATGAAAAATTGGTCGAGGGATCGGTCCCGGCTGATGACAAAATTTTGCATTTCATGTTAGCGCATGTTAAATGACTCCAAATGTTACCGCCGATAAAAATAGGTACTGTTCTTACAATCAGGGTCATCATCAACCTTTCTGATTAGCTTTCTGCCCAGAATTGGGGCGAAAATTGTATGGCGCTAAAGCGGCGCCGAGTTGGTGCCCGAGGAGGCTAAAATGGCACAATATCGCGCCTCCATCAAAAATGGACGTCAGATTCGTAATCAGCGCCTATAATTACCCTTATAGCCGCAGTTTTAGAGAAGATCAAGATTTCGGCCCGAATTCAAAAATTGGGCCATGGGTTAGCCCATAGTCAGTACGGCATGCACGCTTCCCACTTGGAAGACAGCTTCGAGATGATAGCAAGCGGCACGTTTGGTTGATAGTTACACTTCCACCGCAGTTCCTGCCCATGGGGCAATCTGGCATCACCCCCTGATCTCGTCGATGCATGGCGTATGCCTGGGTGGGCACTGGCTACGTCGACGAGCATCCTGGACGTTCCTCAACCGGCAATCTGCCTTCAAGGGAAATGGAGTAGGTGTTCCTTGCGAAGAAAATGGCAACTTCACTTTTCTGGCGTTCGTTAGATGCAGTTCGGTGTGATCTGCGCCTGTGATTCAGATACTTCATTGAGTTTTACCATAACTGCTAGTTATTTATTGCTTGTAAACGGAATTTCGTACACAACTGAAAAATCATGGTAATACGAAATATCGCAGAATTGTGGGAGAAAGTCTTGGAAATAACACCTACAGCCTTTAAGTTCACGCGCAAGCACATGCAAATGCAAAAAAGTGATAATCGGAAAAATGCAAAATCCGAGCATGGAGGGGAACCGAACCAACAACTTCGAACAAACCGTGCCAACCAGAGTCCATCACGCTATCCACTCGACCATCCGACCACCGCTGTACAATGAATGTCAACGACTCTGATGAAACTTCCTTGTGATTTTGAGCACTTATTATGTCAATCACAATTTTTGGTATTGGCTGAATTCCACCAAGTCTAGTTTTCCACAAACCAGCTTCAAGTGAAGAAAACCTTCTATTGTGCGTCCACTTAACATACCGAGTGATATAAAGAACGTTGAAGGTGTGAAAACTCCGATTTCTGAAGAAATTTTTTTCACTCCTTTTTTGGCATCCAGAGGGCCGCTCAGAAAAAATGGAGCCTAGTTTTGTACTTCATGCATGTGCCCCTTTATCATGCAAAAAACCGTTTTCAAAAAGGGCTCCATGTCCTGAAAGACCTTCCTGGTAAGTCCCTGTCAGCAACGATCTGATTCGTAGAAACACAAATTCTGGGCAATTACTGAAAACCACTGGAGAAAGCAGTTGTATGCTATGCTAATTATTGTGCTACCACTCGTAACCCTTAGGCCGATGTCAGACTTTGCGAATCGCGCGATTCGCTACTAGCGATTCGCGCGATTCGCTAGCGTCCGCGGTCGCGTTGCGGTACCAGCCAATTGAGTGATTCACTGGCCGCGACGCGACCGCAGACGCTAGCGAATCGCGCGATTCGCAAAGTCTGACATCGGCCTTATCAAGAACAAGCCTTCTGCTCAGAGTCTTGCTGTGCTTGCGAGCTTTTCCGCTGTATGCGAAACTAAAGCAAACAAGAGGAACCTTTATAAAGTCCACAGATTTGTTATAAAATAATGTTAGTTGACTAATCTCATCCTTAAGTTTTGAAACATAAGCACGTTTTCTTCGAATCGCCAAACGAGTCTTGGTTCGGACGACACCTTTCGCACAGATCGATTTGCCCCGAAAGGACTTATACTGCCATGGGCTCACCAGTTGCTGGACGTTTGACCTTGAAATTCTCTTCTGAAATCGCTCGGTCATACTTGCCAACACAGGAATCTAATACTTCTGTATCAACGTCGAGAATACCACAGAATCGCTAACAATTCAAATTACAAGCCTCAAAACGGACTTATTCTTGATCTTCGCTTCCACGCAACTGCGCATACGGTAGCCGCTCTGATCTACTGTCGATGCGTGCCGTCGAAAAAAAGGACGAATTCCGTTGAAATCAAGGGACTGGCAAAATGCGGGACACTGTGTACATTGTGGAGACAACAGACCATCAAACGAGGAGGGGTCGCGACAGCCTTCAGTTGAGGATCGACTTCTACGAAGCCATCTGAGTCTTGAGAGCTGAGACCAATGGATGAAAGAGATAAAGTTTCACCGTACATCGCTATATGTAGGAAGGAGGGGGGGTAGGGTATAAAAAGACTTTTGCCCATGTCGCACTTCACCGTTTTTTTTTCGTCGCAGAGATTGCCGTCGTTGACGGAAGTTCCTCAGCAAAATATTCCTCAAATGTCCCTCTATAAGTACACGCAGGCCCTCCTTCACTGCCCTCACCGTCTTCAGAATATGACGTCATCTGCCCTGCACCATCCTGAAGCTCTTACATATTTTTTGAATCGATTCGCTGTTGGATAGCTTCCTAGAAACTCTGCTCTGCTAGCTCTGACTATGCAGACCCGCTCGAAACTCGCTTTAAAGAAACGTCGCAATGGTAGGTGACCCCGTCGAGGACCATGTTGAGCTCGACTAGTGCATGTGGAAACAGTGACTTGTGGTTCGATCCCCACTGGGGACAAATTCTGCATTTCTCTGATTTCCACTTCCCTACGCTCATATTTGTCCAATCTCTTTTACTGAATAGAAACCTTCCAATATGCAACTATTCAACTCTACAGATCTTGTAGAGTATGTTAACACATTGCGTACCGCGTGCGCCACCATGTGGCGCACGATTTCGCACGAAACAGGGGATTTATCTGATTTATTTGACATTTTTCAATGCTCCTGAACTGTTTGCACTCATTTTCAGAGCCGGGAAACCATACGTGTCATCACTGATAAAATTGTTGATAGATTAATGATGATTCATTTTTGAAAAATATAAAAAAGATACGAAGGTACTTGTACAACGGCGGTCCGCAATGTGTTAAAAATGTAGAGGCTTCACTTCGTAGAAACAATTTTCTGCCCTTTTACTGGCAAGGCCAGGGCTGATCGGGAAAAATATGACCACTTTCATGCTCCTCGCAGGTGCCCCTATAAAATGCAAAAAAAAACGTTTTGAAAACGCTCCACGGCCTGGCCATGTTTCCTGGTCATACCACGCAAGGCGTTCATTACTTCGACACTGATTGCTTGTAACAGATTTCATTGAACGAATAAACAGCTGTACATGAAATTGGTTGGGTTCTACAGTCAGGAGTAGTTCTGCACACAACTTCAGATTTAACGCGTCTCTTAGAGGAGTAATCGAGTGGCAGAGCTTATTCACTCTATTACTTCTACCTCACAGCTGTCTACAGTACCCCTGTAGACAACATTTCCTCGTACGACTAAGTCGTTCCTTTATATGAACCCATCATCAACGACATCCCTTACTTGTCGTAGTTCTTCTTGAACCACCTCGATACATTTATGTTGTGGCATTTTCTCGCCTTCACTGACCTCATAGCGAATGAAACATATGAATATAATAAAACATTTATTATTTAATATAAGATTGCGCAAGTAATAATTACTAACCGGCAATGATCCCATCTACATATCACAGAAAAGAGAAACCGTTCGCATGTTGATATACACGCATCTAAAGAACAATGCCAAAACAGCTATGTACAAAATATTGAACTAATTTGAGAATGAAGCCACAAGAAGACATTCCACCTCACAATTACTACGATATAGGAGATTTCAAACCGTCTAACTTATCGAAGGGCGAGAAACAGCTCCAAATGCCCAGCAGATGGAGAGGAAAGAGCATCATGAACAAATCGAGAAGACCCAACAATTAATGAGCATTATGTGAAGCGCGACCGCGTAAGCAACCATTGCGTACCGGAAAAGAGGCAGTACAGCACGCGATGGACGATGTCGCAGTGCGCTCAAGCGACGTGACAGAAGGGTGACCAACGACGGCAACGGAGTGGACGCGAGATAAAATGATGTGGCCACTGAAAAAGAAAAATTTATTGCTCTTGAATCGGATCACAATACAGCTCTTTTTTATAACTCAACCATCCCTGATAATTCAAACTAAACCCCGCCTAGCAAAAATGCGATTTTCTTATGACATCATGAAAGCAACCGCCGCTTTCAAATGACAAAAAAAAACACTGCGCGAAAACTACTGACCGCTACAATAGCTATTGATTTAGCGCGCGCATGATCAATATCCATCCTTTACTCTGATACACTTCAAAACAGAGGTATGTGAAGTGTGAAAACATCCTGCACAAAGAATGAAGCAGACCAAATGAACAACTTCACGGCCGTGTGCATACTCAACGTTTCGACTGTACAGAGGGTCTGCGGACCTTCTATCTCCAATTAATTCTTCGGTCAATATGTATTTAATCTACTGAACCTTCTAATCCCCTACGTCTCTTTCGACAATTATTTTATTCCCTAGTCCACCTCCTCCAATCTTTCTCGAACGGTGAGTCGGAACGCGGGTTTAACGAGCACTACAGAAAATAAGTGTAGAATAAAATCAACCTCAAGGAAGTCCGCATGATCTGACGAATGTTGAGCTTCAGGAAGCAGTCTATGGTTATCCCCAACACTCCTCTCGAATTCCTCGAGCTGAAAAAGAAAGAGCTACTGAAAAGTTGACTATTAACATCTAGTGGAGTCGCACCTCTGCGATTCTTTGTTCCTGCTCTTTGCAGATCAGACCGAAGTCGTTCAATCTCTGCATGCTCCGCCTGAACTCATTTCACCTAATTCATGAAATGGGAGGATTACCTCTACTCAAATTACCTCGTTTTCTATTTGTACCGCAACATGCTCTGTTGGGATCATTCTGAAAGCCGACTGATTCGCTTCAAGCCCACTACATGATGGTTTATCCGGATCTTGCTCAACAATTGTATCCCTTTCACGTAAAAGAGCAGTGATCTGCGACTCCAGTTCTACTATTCTGGAAATATTTCTTGAATAACGCTTAGCTCAAAAGTGTAGATAGTGTTTAAGAACTCACCGAAGGGTCGTGTCCATCTTAGCCTCACCCGCCTGACGTAGCCGGTTTGTTCGTTCGTCAAGCTGTCCATTGAGAGCTGTCAATTGTGCCAGAAGAGCATCTTTCTCTGCCAAAACACGGTCGAGCATTGTTCGTTGTGAAGACAGCTCATCGTATAGCGTAGATTTTTCATTCCGACTCTGAATGAAAATCGTTATGAAAGAAAAATTACTGCAGATCAACCTGAAACCCATAGATAAGTCCAACGGAGACAACTAGGATTGATAAAGTTGGCGCATTAAGTACATATAGCATCTTTGCCTCTGACCGTTTATTTGCCGTTTACTGTAAACTTAGTTGTTTTTGGTAGTTTTACTTTTTTAAGTAAAAAAAGCTTGCCAGAAAATTGTTGTCGAGCAAAAAAGCCAAACATCAAGAAAACCTGCTTCTTTTCCGAAAACGAAATAATTATAGGATTATCTAGCACATTTCAGAGTACTCGATGGTACTGTACCACATTAGCAAGGAAACATCAAATTCCTAATAATTCAATACATTTCAGACAAGTACAAAGTAAAAAGTGTACTAACCTTTTCGAGTGCAGCTTCCAAGTGACGTACTTCTTCGTTGGAACGAGTAAGACTTTCTATTTCTTGAACAGCCAGTTCTAATCGCTTCCGCAACGACTCCATCTGAAAATAGCGGAAAAGAAATCTCGAGCAGAACATGAACGTTCCAAACTACATTCCTTGTATAGCGTATAAAGAACTTATTTGAATAATGTAGATTATTGCAATATTTGAAAAACAGTAAAATAAGAAGAAATTCCAGTCCGTGCGACTGAACGAGATGTCAGTGGTAAGATAGCAGATTCCAGAGTGAAGTATTTTTTTACGATCACTACGTTGGCAGAAATAATTTCCAGAATACAATACTAGCCCCATAAGCTACACTTTTTTCGCTAAAATCTACCGTTCAGGTCACTTCTCTATAAGCGCTCAAAATAACGTAGCTAGAAATGAGATCTAAACAATCACGGGAAGCTAGCAATAAATGGCGCTGAAGTTGCCTACAATTCCACTTTGATCCCGTACCTTCTTCACGTCACAATATGGGAGATAAAGGTAATCACTTTTATAGCTTGAACGGGTGCTCTCAATCCAATTCCAACTCGGTTCCATGCGGTCTATCGCAGAGTATTGAAGAAATGTAAATAGTGAGAGAGTCAAAAATTCAAAAGCTACAGTAGACTGATCATGAGAGTCATGAAAAGGGAAGAAAAATTTCCACAGGCTCACCTTTTCTGACAGAATCATCTCGTTGCGTACATGCTTGTTCTGCGACATCTTTCAAATGTCGAAGTCGTTGCTCACTTGAATCTAGGTCCTCTACAGCCTAAACCGTTCATTATGCTGCAATACGCAACTATGTATAAAACAGCACTACCATGATAAGTTGCATGGAGTAATTTAACTGTACTGGAACAAGATAACTTTAGAGCTTACCTGTTTCATCTTCTCGTCATATTCTGACTTCAGCTTTGTGATGTTTCTTTCCAGCGCGATGACGCGAGCCGCAGCTTCTCGACCTTCTCCTGCCATTATTATAGTTTGTTCCTTTTCAAATAGAGCACGCTCCAATTCTTCCACCAATCTGGAAAGAACTGAGGATATTGCAGTAGATATGAAAAGTCGACATTTCGATAAATATGCATGAGTTACTTAGGAAGAAGCACAAATGAAAGTAGAAAATAAAAGCAAATCAACACCAAATAACTTAATTCTGAAATTTTCTTGATTGATAGTAAATAAAATGCTCCTCACAAATAGTAGAAAATTATAACCTTTGATTATCATTCCGCGATTTCAGCGCTGTTGCATCGCTTCGGTCCAGAGACTGTTGCAAGGCAATTATTTCATTCTGCAATATCACAGTTATAGAGATTCTGGGAATCAAGATTCAAAAAAGAAAGATGTGATTAGGATGCTCACCTTTGGCACATTCAAGCTGCTCATGAGCTATAAACAGTTCACGCTCTAAACGAACATTGTCGTCACGCAGATGGCTGATCGTCTCTTCGCTTCTCTGGAACATGAGACAGCTTATATCTGATGCAGGGCGCATCATGAGTGGGAAAATTCGTATTATAGTTAGTATTATTATTAAATATAATCTTACCTTCCCTCAACCTGAAGCACCAAGTCCGAACTAAAATGCACACATTATTATGACGCTGCTGCCACACTCAGCCTTCTCGTATATGGCTTTGATTTTCGCAAAAATTTTACAGAACTGAGGGTACAGCGATCTAACATGTTAGTAGATCGCAAGCGCACTAACCACAAGCTACCAGCTACTAACTATTGAAATACTGACTGATTGTTGATTGTTCATTCTTGAATCGAAACATAATCTCTACCCTACCTTGAGCTCAACTGATGACTGTAGATGCGTGACGTTCTCTCGTTCTTGTCGCTCTCTCAATTGTAACTGAAGATGGACAAGCTCGGCTTCGCATCTGAATAGGTATTCATTCTTTTCATTGAATAAGTTATCCACAGAATGCAACACAGGCCTTAGGTTTCGCACCTACAAAAAACAAATAAAAAACAAAAACTGAAAATAGATCTGACAAACCTAGCAAGAGACGAATCGCGAGCACTAACTGCTTGCGTGAGGGACTCGACTTCCTCGCGTAATTTTTCTGCTTCAGCTCCTGCGACTAACAATTCATCCTCCATCATCTGCGTTCTTTCCCGTAATATATCGATGTCACCATCCTTAGAAACCAGCTGCTCTCTAAGAGCATCTGCTTCATCAGCACACCTCTGTGACTTTTCTAGAACGGCCTCAAGACTGGAGCAACGTTCCTCAATGGACGCCAATGCAAGCAAACGATCATGTAGTTCCTTATTAGCCGCATCCAAATCGGAGACTTTCCTGAGAAGTTCATCTCGCTGACCACACGCAACTACTAGCTCATCCCTGACTAATCGCGCTTCATTTCGCAGCATTTTGCTTTGCTCGTCCGCCAATTCCCTTCCCTTTAGTAGCTCTTCGTTTTGAGCTTTCACTTCGACCAATTTCAGCGACAGAGCTTGCGACTCATTGAACAACGTCGTCATTTTCTCTTGCACTTGATCATGAATTGCACTTTTAGCGGCGCGTTCTTCTTCAGCCTTCCACAATTCCTTTACCAAATTTTCCTCAGATTTCTTAGCATTCTCCAACTCATCTTTGAGCTTCTTCTTTTCTGCCGTGAAATTTTCGGTCAGGACCTCGCAACGCTCCAGAGCGTCTGATAAATCATGCTCAAGTTCGCGCAGCTGTCCTTTCGCCTTGCTCAATTCATCGACCAAACGATCTCGTTCCTCTGTCGCCTGCTTCAAGTTTTCTTCAGAAGAGCTTAGCAGAACTTTGCACAGCCGTCATTTGCTTTTCAAATTCTTCCACTGGAATCGTACGAGATTTCACCTCCTAGCTCGCAAGAAAGTTTATCAGCGAGAGCTTTCGACTCAGTCAGTTCTTCCTACAATATGAAAACTCAGATTCACGTACTTCCTATAATGATATACGAGTTAATGTACATACTTTGAGGTTAGCTATTTCCATTGCCAACTGCTCTTGAGCCTTCGATGAACTGCTTTCTACAACGCGGATAGCTTCCTCTAATTCAGAAATACGCTGCGTTTTCAGAGATAGCTCTTCACTCATCCCAGAATGTCTGCTTTCTGAAATATCATCAGTGATCTCATTATCAAGTAGCTTAAGTTACAAAAAGCCGTATTATGGAGGAGGTTTTGTTGAGATATGACGTGTTTTATCCGCTTCCATAGATCTGAATTCGTTTACGGTCCAGTCATTTGTAGGCCGAGTAAGCCGCTGCGTACCGTATCCATAAATCCACCCCGGAGACTACCCACAACCCCAGCTTACGGCGACACGCAAGGCTGTCCATAAACTGCCGCCTTATCGAAAGGTTTGGCACTGATGGGAACGCGCTACCCGTCTTCTCTTTCAACTATCAAATTACGAATTCCCGCAAGCCAATCGAAACCCACGAAAAAATCGGAAGCAAATTCAAGTTATGGTGGGCAGCAGAAGCTTGCGCCGTCCTCTGGCAGCCTGCTTTCGACAGTAAGTGGGAAGAACGTTCAGATGCGAGCATTATGCCATTATATGAAGAGCTGCTGATTGCACGTTCGCCATCTGTAGACGAAAACTCTCGCATCACGCATTTGGGTCGCACCAAAGGCAAAAAGCATGACTGTAAGTGTGGCGTTCGTACTAAAGGCAACTATCTACCACTGTCAATTCTTCCGGCCTTCTGCACAGTAGCACAATCCAACTATAAGGAAGATTCATATATGCCCACACACATACAAAACAATCTCAAAAAAAAAACTACTGAAACAACTCACCATAATTCCGCTATTTTGAATGTAGACTGGGCTGTTTAACTCTGTAGATTCGCTTAGTTCAGAGTCTACTGCCGCTAATCGCTCTCGCAGAACGGCGATCTCATCTGCGACCATATTGAGCTCTTCTAACTTCTTCTCCAAACGGTCTGAAAACTTCGTCGAACCTTATTGTGATACTTGATTAATTCCTCTTATAATGTTAGTGTTAACATCAACACCTGGCGTGAATTTTACAGCAACGTGTAGTTACCCCCCTTGAGCCTTGAATCGGTCGTCTCCTCTTCTGAGCGCATCAGCGACGCCGCGTGTTTCTTCGAGATCTTGCTCACTAGACCTGATTATCTCCTCACATTCGCAAATCTTCGTTGCTAAGAGAGCGTTCTGAACGAAACTTTGAACGATTACGCGTGAAGGGAAAGGGTATAAATCACTCGGGTAAATCACTCTGAGAAAGCATCTGAATACTACTGGGACGAAATGAAGATTTGCACCTAAGGTTTGCTCTACCAGTATTCAGGTTCGAATCAACACAATTTTTTAGAAGCACTATGAAAACTGTCTAGTTAAAGCGGAATCAAATATACAGTAATCATGTGACCGGTCAAATGAGAGGGTACGTTAAATCCACAAGAATTTTAGAATATTAGGAGAAAACACACCTCTCTTTTTGAGTTAAGAATCGGTCCATCTGAGCCGTTGCGCGAGGACCTGCATGCTCAGCGATCCTTGCGGCCCTGCTGTGTAGGCTCCTCTTTTGCATGGAACCCCCCCGAGATCTCATTTGCCGGAGCCGATTTTACCTGCAGAGTTGCTGAGCTAGCTGTTTACACTTCTCTTCGTTCTGCTGCTCCAGACTTTCATATCTTTCTTTCAGCAAAGATAGTTGTTCCTCTAGTTCCTGTTTGACCAGTTCATGTCTTTGTTTTTCTGATTCCAACTTCTCTTTGAAATTAACCACATCGAGTCGTTGCTGTATTCACTGTCATGCTACTCCAGCGGTTTTATTGGAGAAGCGTCAAGTTTTGGCTGTGTGAGATCTTCCCTTTCTTTTGCCAAAGGGAGGCTTTCAAGCGCTCGCAACATTGAGGCCTGGCATAGACCGGTTCGTCAGAACGCTTTTGTATTCAAATTCACTTGCTTGCAGTGTGCTGATATTTTTCTCTAGTTTCGGATTTTCTCCTCATATTCTATATTCTCTAGTCTTAAACGAGACCTTTCGTCCTCGATATCCCGAGCCAACTCTTTGATTTGCTTGGTCTCCAACTCTGCGCAGCGTGCCATATCGGACAGTCTCACTTTTTCTGCCCTTTCTGTACCGAGTTCTTCAACGATGCCGCTGTACATGCCTTCCATCCGTTGCAGCTCCGCCAGCACTTCTGAATGTTTCTTATTCAGCTCATCTAGCGACGATTGCAGTGCATCCCTTCTCTCTTTCTCTTCTTCCATTACTGATCGCAAACAGCTCAACTTCTCCTCGTAGTTATTCCTTTCGGAAATAAGCAGTTCATTCAATTCCTGCTGTCGCTTCTGAAGACTAGCTACTTTAGGTTTCGAATCAGCTTCGTTGCCCCATGGCTCAGATGAGGAAGCAGTAGTCCACTCCACAGCGGCGCTGTTGCCATCAGAATCTTCACCACCAGGAGTAGCGTAGTCTGCCATGCCATCCTTTCCAACGAGTTCATCGAACAGGATCTCTATGACTGACTGTTCTTCTTCATCTCCTCTTCCCACAGCTTCACTTGCAGCTATACAAGTGTTCGTGAGATTGTTGTAAATCTCCTCGTCTAATGCTAAGTATCTTTTAGCGTTATCGACGATTCTGTCTCTTTTCATTCTAAACTCTGGAATTTCAGCTGCTAATGAGGCAATCAGGGCAACTGATTGCTTGTTATAGCTCATTATACGTTGAAATTCAGTCGATGTACAATCACATTTCATTCCATGCTCTTCTAACTCCTCACTCTTCATCTTCTTGTGATCCTTGACCAATTCTTCAGACGATGACTTATAACTCTGAAAACTATCAAATTTAGAATAATCCCTATATGTCTCAACAATGTTTCTTTAGAACGAATGGTCTGATTTGAACTACGTGATATTTCATTTCCAGAATGAACATGAGAGAAGGATCCTTAAAACTTCTTACTCCTCACTCCCGCTAAGGGCGGGCACACGCGAGACGAAAAAAACTACATCTTTATCTTGCTCCCTCCCCCTACTACAAAAACGTGTTTAAAAATCAAATTTTCAACGAATCTTAACTTACATCTAAATTTTACGACTTCACTTATCTTTAACAATGCTTTACAATATTGCAAAAAAAAAACTGTTAGAACTATAATATTAATGTAAGCTATTTAGCGAACGCTCAAAAAATGCACCAACCGTTTTCTCGCTTGACTGACCAGCTTTGCGGGACTTTCTCGTAACATGATCAGGCGGGAGTATGCGACCAGCTGGTCCAACAATTGGTGCACGCCACATTGCTTCACTTTTCATGTCTCCTTTTTCAAAACGATAACATGAAGGATGCCATCAAAAACGCAGCTAACATTGATTGTAGGACCAGCTGGTAGTGCCACACGCGATTATAGGGGTAGGACTCGCGAACACAGCTAATCAACTTTCTGATCTTCCGATTCTCCCGAACATTCAGTCCGTCAGCAGTGGAAATCAATCCCCGAAGTTAGAAGTGAGTGGACGGAAAACTTTTTAAAACTGCGCTAAAATACCTAATCACAACCGACACCACACTTTCCTTACAAGGTCTTCGCTTAGATGGCAATTATATCTGCGCTCAGGCTGGTGATAAGAACCTGAAGTGAAAAACTCTATTACGACACTGGGTAACAAATAGGGCATTATTCTCAGAATCAATCTTCTCTAGTACTCCTGTTTCGAAATTTTGACATTAAAAATCATTGACTTCCGCAGTCTCAAATGTGATTCGAAGAGAACATGGGGAGAAAAGAATCTAGCGGCGACAGAGAACGAAAATAATTTGATCGCAGTAAAAACATTCAATCTAAAAATATTGAAGGGGAAAAAGGAAAAACCAAAGATGGTTCCAACAATGTACCTTCAGCTTAAAGAGCGAGATGTGTGAAGTTCCTCCGTGAGTTGAAGTTTTCTTGACGTAATGCTTCGAGTTTCTTATTATATTCAGCTATAAGTCGAGTGGAGTGCTAAAACACAGCCAGTAGTGCAATGAAGAATTGCAGAGAAATTCTTGAGAGAAATAAAAAAAAACAGAATGTGAAATTACCTCTCGCATTTGATCAATTTGCAGTTGCAATGCAGACGTGTCTTCCAGTGGCACTTTTGTTTTACTTTCATTCTGCTAAAATTATCAAACCCATTGCTATAGATAACGACTATGGAGTCACAGATTGAGCTACTCCATTCTGTGAACATAAACACAAATGAGTAAAACTTCAATATGAAAACATTTAAATACAAATGATAAGTGAATGGTGGAAATCTCCGAGACTTCACTGGAAACAGAATTTGGTGGATTCTAAAGCGAAACCTTAACACCCTACACCGCGGCTGCCCTCGTCGGCTCGAATCTCTCTCAGTGTTTCTGCCAACTTTCGCTGAAAAATGGAAGAAAGTACAACAGTACCATATTCGTATGTTTGCTGGGATTACACAATTCCTCTACCGCCTCGGAGATAATGGACTGTAGTTGCTGATCATATTTCCGGATTCAAAAAAAAAAGAAAATATGACGGCGACAACGAATTATCCATTCTTACGCCTTCATCGCTACACTGAGACGTTCCCACGAATCGTTTCCTGCGATGATGCGTCGCCAACCACGGACTTTGTAGCTGACACGCATGCATTGAAAGATTTGGTTGTCATTTGTGCTTTCATGCTATCCCTGTGATTTTATGCCAATAAGGGTGCAAATACTGTAACTGCCTCGGAAGGCAGGGAGCAGTTAGGAAGAGTGACCAGAACCTGTTAATGTCGACTCCAGCGAATCGAAAAGGATGCTATGAGTGTCATCTAAAATCTCTTCGCCCAGTAAGGCCGCATCTATAGATCGCGACTAGGGAGATTGGGATAGTAGGCGACAGGATATTAGGATAGTAGTAGAGTAGGAGATTGCGCTGACAAGATTGGATACGTATCGATTGAAATCGCTGGAGAGTAGTAGATTGGGCGACTTCAAGCGAATAGATCAATACATATCTAATCTTGTCAGCGCACTATCCTAATCTACTACTATCCTAATCTCCTACTCTACTACTATCCTACTATCGTAATATCGCAATCTACTACTCTCCAGCGATTTCAATCGAATACGTTAATTAAGGCCGATGTCAGACTTTGCGAATCGCGCGATTCGCTAGCGTCTGCGGTCGCGTCGCGGCCAGTGAATCACTCAATTGGCTGGTACCGCAACGCGACGCGGACGCTAGCGAATCGCGCGATTCGCAAAGTCTGACATCGGCCTAATCTTGTCAGCGCAATCTCCTACTCTACTACTATCCTAATCTCCCCGTCAATACATATGTTTTTCATTGTCGCGTACTATCCTAATCTCCGGAGTCGCGAACTATGAACGCGGCCTAATGGCTTCACCTGCATTAGGTTGCCACAAGTGGCCACACTGTGAGATACACGAAGGGAGGAACTTCGAGGAAAAATGAAACTGCTTGCACCCCCTCTCCTAGGCCCCGTTCAGGCTTAGTCCTAGGGAAGGCTAGGAAGGGGTGGAGTGTTGGCTGTATGGGCTTAGATGCCCCACCTGACGACACCAGCGCACAATATCAAACAAACTGAAAATTAAAGTCGAACTCACTGTAAGCGCATCGGTGACATTCAAGTTCTCGCTGATGGATTTCTTCAACGGCGCTTTCTTCTTGCCCATTTGTGATGCGTTATCACCAGAATGATTCGAGTCGAGAGAGTCTAAAATGAGCAAATTCGAGTAGATCAATGGAATCGATTCACAACACACCGCACAAGAATCGCAACGATATCGAATGCCATGGGTCATCTACGTGGAATGATAACGGATAAGCTCACGATATCGTACCTGGGCGATCGCCCAAAACCTTTGAGCTGTTAATTGAGTAGGAAGGGCGCAATCGTAAGCAACATCACTCTTGCAGGGACCCATTGGAGCCACCCTTGACACCTGCCACTGGCAGTAAGGTAGCAGCCCCTGCCTAGACCCCGTCGTTAACAAGTTGAATCGTGTCAAATTTGTCATCCGTCGGTTCCACGTCAAATATATTGGGATTTGTTAACGTGTCCTAACTTGTCTAGGTCGCCTTTTCGAGGTGTTTACACTTTCCTGTTCGCCCTAGAAGCCTCATGCACTTGCAGTGACATTGATTTTGCGCGCGCGTAATCAATACCCATATTTTACTTGTTTTTCATTCAAACGGTGAGACGAGCAAAATCAGTCTAACAATGACTATTGCGCAATTATTACATTGTTTTTGTCGCTCACCAACAATTGCTGCCACAGTGCCGTAGTTTTCCTCCTGTTCTTCCAGGAAACATTGGACATCTTCGATGAATACAGAAACTGCTGCTCGGTAACTATAAGAATCAGTCGAGACATCCTGAAATAAGCTATTAAGAGGAGGCACAGAAATTAGTTTGAATGTCGTTGACCACCACCAGTAGCACAAAAAGTGGTCTCATGCAAGGGGCATGGCCGTACGCAGTCTGCTCTGAAGCCAATTTGGTTCAAGGAGTCCTTTAAAATCACAAACTGCTACCAACCTTTATTTCTACGCTATTTCTTCGGTTTATTTTTATAATGTATGTATTCTTGTGCTGGATGTGACATCAACGGGAAAAAGGTGCTAAGTGAGTTGGGGGGGGGGACTACGCGGCGGCGCGGCGTCTGTCAAACGCAATGGCACTAACCATAAGCCCGAGCCTAGAAGGTGGCTGAAATGTGCCAAAAGCCAATTCACAAATCATACTGTTCGCAGCCTACCCACTTTCTTGCTCAGATTTAGTCCCCACCGCCGCCTTGAAAAAACGGTGGCAGCCGCGTGGTCTCCCCCACTCACTTAGCACAAGGGAAAATAAGGACTGCTCCTGAACTAGGGGCTACCTCTCCTCCAAGGCTGACAATGCCTTTCCCTCCTTACTGGGTGAGAAAAAAGGCTAGAAGGTCGAATACAGAAAAACTTCTTGCAAATACAATTTGTATTAGTAAGCTCCAGTTATACTTTCTCTCCGGCGGCTAGGAGAGCTGCATGCGATTCCACAACACCAAGCGACGACGGCCCAAGTGAGTTGCAACGAAGAAGGTTAAGTGGATAAGCCGGTATGATGATAATGATAGTTGTAGTTGCGCACAACTGTAGAGATACATGCGACAGGCTAATCATTTCGTGGCACTATCACAAAAGCGTGAAGGCTGTCGTCAATTGTTTTGCGAAGTCTGCAGCGGACAACGTACCTGCCCCGAATAAAAAGAGTATAGCGGAGGAGGGCGGTAACTTTGTGGTGAACTGCGTCTTACTGACCGATGGTGATGTCATGGCAGCATCGAGTAGTTAAGAATATGCAAATGAAGGTGAAACAAGTCAGCAATGTTTATTTGCCGCTATCGTTGGACTATCATTATCATTCGGAATGGAGGCACGAATTCCTCAGAATGAGCTCTACGGTAAGGTTAATCAGTAGCTGAAAACTTTTTGTGAGCATACTACGAGCAGAAATCGTATAATGACCTTTCGACAACGAACAAACATTTGGCTAGCCCACACGGTCTCAGGACATCTGGTATCTACATTTTCAATTTTCCCCGTGAGTGACATAGCAAGGCTGCAATAGAGTTGTTTAGGCCACTTGAACTCGAATAATGCGCGGAAAGGGCACCCAGCAGACGCCGTGTCTGCGCCCTCTCGTACGGGGTGCTCTCTCGCGTATTCCCTCTCACCGCATGAGCTGTATTTTCCACTTACTGCAGAAACTTTTCAAAATATTATCAAACATACACGCAATATCAACAGAAATTTTATTTCCTAATCGCCAATTTCAAGGCTGATCACACATAGAATCCTCACTTCTATTAATATATAATCGATATACCCACCAAAAACAAAATATACAACATAAATACCAAGTACCCATGTTCGGTATCAATGGATTTCTTTCGTTTCGATTCAGGAAACAGTAATAATAAATAATGAAAAACACTTTCAATTCATGTTATAATTGATTAGTGCTCTTTAGTTTCTAGCAGCGATTACGGCCATACAGGGAAGGTTGAGCAATCGTTTCCGGGACCCAACGCACGAATCGTTAATGATGTCCTGACCGCCGTCGAATCACGTCTTTTTCGGCCGCCTGAAATCACATTTCACTCAGTCAGGCATGTCCGGTCTATGACCATCAAAAACACTTCACTTCATTTGATTACAGATGGACCCTAGAGAAATCCGAATGAGGGAGGCCCGACATGCCTTCGTATGTGAAAAGCCATTTCTTCACAATGATAATAAAGCCCTCTGCGACGCATATGGCCTATGCCCCCAGGATGTTTATGACGCGCGCCGTCGCGATGCTGTTGATGAGTCATCGTGCGTCATTTCTTCGGTGAGAATCGATCGACCATGCAGGCAGACGGCGACCCGCCGCGACCCAAAGTGCAGCGCCTATGCGCAAGGGTTCAGAGTAATTAATAAACGGCACAAATGAAGACATGTCTAGCTATTGGATTTCCCATTTCCTATCTACAAAGTCGACTATCCAGCCATCTTCATAAGCTGATGTAGGACATGGTAAAAAAAGTGACCTTTATTTGCAGAAGGTATTACTCCACGAACTTTCAGCCAAATTTTTCACATACGACACAAACACATTGTCTCGAAGGAAAAGATGACAAAGTTGCACGATAGTAACCTCTGCAGAATTACTTGCTCTCTTGCCCTCCCTTCTTCCTCTTCTATGTTTGGAAAGTTAACTTTGCATTTCCGATTGAAATAACTTCATCCTATTGTTTTTTGGGTACAACTTGCACACAACTACAGCCATCTACAAGTTGTCGCTGGATCGCACAACAGAACTCTGTGACAATGCTATAGGCTAAACAGGGACGATATGTATCGATTAAACAGGCCAGACATCGCATTCGTCGCGCACGATTTGACGCGACAATGCGCGACAACGATCGATTACTCGCATTTTCACTGTGCGCGCCACGACGAATTTGCGCGGAGTGGTTTACCATATACATCAACGATGCAGCCACAGTAAAGACTAAGTAAGAAGTAATGTTAGGTTCGATCGATCCTTCACCGAGGTGTCCCTAATAGTGAATGAAACATCGTAAAAAGCTTCACTGTTAGATTGATCATTAAAAATGACACCGTTCTTAGACATGATAAGGTTGAACGCGGTTAATTCAGATATCCAGTAGGGATCCATGAAGTGCAGTGCTCTTGAATACGGTAGAAATACGGAAATAGAGCTCACCTGTTGAGGAGCATACGCCCGAGGTGCTGGAGGCACAGGTTCTTCTACCTGTCGATAGCCTTCCGACACATCATCTTCCGAGATAGTCGCTGACGACGGTCGTGGTGTCGTCTCTCCAGAAGAAGACAACTTCTGACGGCGAGCGGCCAAACGTGCTCGAAGCTGCTCATACGAGCGAGTAATAGCGAGCTTCTCCTATAAAACAATTCAAAACTTTCAAAAAAAAATTCAAGGCTGTCGATTTCAATTCAGGTCCAATCAAGTTTAATTGTCAAATTGACCTGTTTGGAAAGGATTCAGTCTACCAGCTCGAAAAAGAGCAATACGTTTCCTTCCACGGAGTTTTTAGTAGGGTGAAGCCTCACCCCGTTAACCATCAGTAAGCCTAAGGTCTAGAGAAAATCGACAATTACCTGCGCTGAAATTCGTAGACGGGACTCCGCGTTCTCGAGGCGACTGCGCAGCTCGTTTCTTTCAGCCGTCAGGGTTTCGAGTTGACTACTCTG